CCACTGACCTTGATGTCGCTTATGAGACTCGCTCTCAATTCCTCAAGGACAATGAGCCCTGCTGTGTGGCCATTACTCTCGGCTCCCTTCTCCACGAAATAGGACGCCGCTTGGCCTCTTTTCTTCAGGCTATCCATCTTATGTTTGTGGATGAGTCCCAGCAGGCGGGTCAGGCCGCCTATGTGGCTTCATGGTGCAGTGCACTGCACAGCCCTGACAGTCCACATTGGTGATGATCGGCAAACTCGGGGTGCCTCGCGCAACGACCCCATTCGAGAAGAGGTTCTGCGACGATTAGGCCAAAAGAAGGTTGCCCTTCATGGGCTTTCGGATTGGAGCGTCCCACAGGACTTCCTGGTGCTGGCAGCGGTACAAATCACTGGAGAGCGTTCACAGGAAACGCTCCCTGCCGTCCTAGGCATGGAGTACCTTGCTGCTGCAGGTCGTGGTCTGCCCACTGCGGCAGCCACCGTCCGCAGCGCCAATGGTCTCTCCAGTGAAGGATCTCCCGGGCTCAATCTTGTGCTGCCCAGTAGTATGCGGGTTTCGCCTACTGCCTACTTCATGAGTGTGGCTGTTTGGTACCCCCATCTGGTGCGCATGGATGATGACGGTCGAGTCATTATCGGCAGGTGTGTCGAGCAAGCTGCTGAAGTCATAGCCACCAGGAATGCCATGCTCAATGGCATAACTACTGGAGTTTCCGGCCTCCGCTCCGTTGAGTGGCAACCCAAGCTGCTGTACTTGCAAGGTCGTGATGTCGCCCTGGGGCTTGCGGCAGAGTCCTTGCAGTTGAACATGTTGTAGACGTCCTTTTGGCCTCGTTCCACGGCTCCTTTCGGCGTGGGCATGAAAAACCCAAGCTTCTTCTCATGACCCCGCATAATGACACGCACGATTCGGTGTGCCGTCACTTTATCGGTGGCCAGGTCGATGAAGCGTGGCCGGACCTTGGTCCATTTGCTTATGGCGTGCACTCCCCTCCTGGTCGAGGCTCATGATGCCAAGGAAAAGGCACGTGCCACTTCCAATGCTATTGAAGCGCGCTTTCAGAATTGCTTGCAGCAGCTTCAACGCCTGACGCACGACGAACGCCTTGCTTACCTGCAGCAGATCACCCCGACTAAGGTCCGGGAGTACAGGCTGTCTAGGCCCACACTCTTTAGTCAGTACCTCGAATGTACGAACACGGTCAAGGCCACCGGCATGACCGGCACTGTCTCCGTAGTCATAATCGGAAAAGATTCTCGTTTTCTCCATTATGGCAGTGAAGCGGAGGCGCGCTTCAACGTGTCACTGACCAGGGCCAAAGCGCTTACTGTGGTCCTTGCTCCGCCGAGTGCCACCGGACCGCTAGGCATGCTGCAAACAGCGAGCGCACGCCTTTTTGGTCGATTGGACATGGCCAGCCTCCAGAAATCTGCGGAGCCCGTAGCTACATTGCTCGGCATGTGCTCTGGCCTTGAGGATCTGGATGAGCCTTCTTGGCACGGTGCCCATCACATCGGCCACGCGGCCCCGTGGAAGGAGCTGCCCTTGGCGCTCTCCTTACCGGTGAAGGCATCATTTTCGGCAGAAATGTAGGAGGCCATCAGTGAGGGTGTAGGCAACCCCGGAGGTGAGCACAGTCTCACCACCCGCAATGTATAGCGCCACCCCTGCATGAAGGCACTTCACAAGGTCAACTGCGATGGCGTATGGCCGATTGCCCCGGGCCTCCACAAAACCCTGTGTGTTAAGCGGGTAGGTGGTCAAGTGGATGTGAGTTCAAGGCGCCCGGAAGCAGCCCCGTCGAAAGGATGGACTCGGCGCTGACCCAAGTCGTGCAATGGAGTGCAAAACTACGCCGGATGGCCTCATCATGCCGCATCAAGGGGAGATGGCGGGTAGGGTCGTGGCCCGCGATGGCCCGAATGCACAACCCGCGAGTGGGCGAATGCTTGATTTCGAAGCGTGCCAGGTTCCGCAGGGCGCGGATCAAATGTATGCGGCTAGCGATGCCTTCCAGCAGGACAAAGCCGTCTACCGTCGCAGGAGTCTTAGGGTCGTGCCTAGTAACAAAGGATAGGTACTTACCGACTCGCGTGATGGTTTCAGCGGGAAGCACAGAGACGTCTGGCCATTGTGCTCGCATTGCCGAAGGCAAGCCCTCAATATCACTGACCGTAATGAGGGGCTTGCGAGGATGTGCGAGTGATTGTTGCCCCTGTTCGATTCTGTGCACAGATCTCAGAGTCAACCTGCGCATTTGCTCTCAGCAGCCTGCCGTTGTCGACGACCGGGGAGAAAGCGCGGACAAACGCATACCTTGCACTCTCATTGTCAATGAACCACAGCAGCTTGCGTTCCTTCAGCTTTGCAGACCACGTGCACTTGGCCACAATGACAGGCCACATCTCTGCTTGACATATGACTTGCCTTTTGCCTTGTACAGTCCAACTGCTGACCAGTTCATGGTCAATGTGGTCGCCGAAAAATTCGACATTGCAATCCAAAGGGTCAAAACAAACTGCTCCGAAAGTGACAGTAGCTGCTTCATCTTCGCAAGCTCCATCAGTGAAAATTACCACTGGTGGTCTGTCGTCACTTGCCCATATTTGACGTTCGCGAGCATTGGCCAGCGTGTCCACCGCAAGTTTCAATGTTTCCACAAGGTCCTCATCCAGTTCCATTTGGGCCCTGCCCCTGACTCTTGCGCTGATCTGTTGCACGGCCAGCTGTGAAGTCCGGCCCATGGTGAAACCGCTGGCGAAGAGGAGCCTACCTCTTAGCGAGTCTAGCTCCTTGGCCAGCACACGCCTTCTGTCGACCAGCTCTGAAACACAGCGTCGGATCTCTTCAAGCGAGTCTAGCTCCTTGGCCAGCACACGCCTTCTGTCGACCAGCTCTGAAACACAGCGTCGGATCTCTTCAATCCTTCCTGGCTTGTTTCTCAGAACAATCAACCCTTGTCTAGTTGCGTCCAAAACTACAGTTGCACCCAGCATGTCGAACTTACTGCGAAAAGGTTTCCTCTTGTCCTCCCCCATGGAGATGTTCCAACCCAACATTTGCAAGACAGTCTCGGCCGTCTCATGCGCAGATGCGGCCAATTGGGAGACCTCCAACTGGCAGTAGTCGTCAAAGAAATTGGTGTTCACGATCCGCAACAGTCTGACCAGTATCTGGCTAAGACACCTGGCCACTCGATTGAAACCCAGTACTGAACTTACGGCTCCAAAGGGAAGTGCTACGGCCTCGAGAAAAAACACACTTCGCCATCGTCGGGATTTGCAGCTGCAATGATTGAGCACCATGCATGGTCCGGGTGACGTGCCAGCTGTTTGTAAGCTGCCTTCAAATCCAGGGCTCGTCCCAGGATGCCGCTCCGGCAGTGTTCCAAGCGACTGCCATCAAGAGCAGTTACAAACATCCTAGCCGTCGCTCCCACGTCGTCAATCCCTTCCAAAACAATCTGCTCAAAGGTACTTGTAGAAGCATTTATCCCAAACTGGGAGAAATCATCCACAGATCCTCCTTCGTGAAGGGACCCTTGAGCCATCCAGAGCCATCTGTCGCTTGCTCGACAGACTCCTTCCATACTGCAGCAGCAACCTCGGGGTCAAGCAAGACTTTGCGACACTCTTGTTCAATGCAAGCTTGAGCAAATGGGGCAGTTTTCTGAAGTTCCTCAGCGCTCATACTTGCCAATCTCAATTTGCTCCGAAACTGCCCAGAGGGCTCCAGCTGCCCGACCAACTTGAAGCCTTCGCACAAATCACGGAAAAGAAACTCATCATCTATTTCTGCATCTTCGCACAGTCTCTTGAAGAGCAAAAGTTGCTTCTTTGCAAGAACAGTCTGCAAATCAGGGCGCAGACCCTGGTGAAGAGCGATCTCCTCGTTCCTCAAATCTCTGGCAACCTTCTTGTATTTGATAATCTGTTCTAGCCTGAACTTTGCAACCATCAGAGCGCTGTTTGAAGATATCCAGCAGATTGCTTTCCAATTGCCCTCACCAAAAGCGCCCAACTCGTCAGTTGGGTGTGGCTGCTCCAAAGCATATCTGGTGAAGTCCCTTGGTTCGAAAAAACTGCCATACTCCGCCATCTTGCGCGCCTCTCGCCGTCCAGCATCTGTACCATTCACACCCCCATCCACATGTTTGGAAAAGATGCGAATCAATTTGGACTTCTTGGGCACTGAGGCCAACCAAATGGGCGCATTGTCATCAAGGCGCATAGGTGGTGTCTGACCATCGGGCACCTGGATTTGGAAAGTCTGGGCAAATTCGGGCACTACGGTGCGAGATATTTTGCGATGCTGCCTCTGTGATGCCAAAGCAGCCTGAGATGCATGGGTTGGCTCAGGGTCCACCCCGCGCTTGGCAAGTTCTTGCCGGAAGCATTGGGCTATGCACCTGGCTAGTCCGGCAGGATACTCAGCTTCACCAGATGTAGCAAACTTCCAGTGTCCCTGCTGCATGGTGGCATTCCAGGGCTCGTGCACGTGCGACCCATCACACTGCAGACACAGTTCAGACATGTCAAAATTGGCCAGGAAACCGGTGGCTTTCCGTCGAGAGCCCCCGTACATGCACGAGTGACACTGGAACATTTTGAAACTGAGAAGCTCGGAAACATGCACAAACCAGGGTGTAAGCCACATGAGGCTTCGGGCTGGGTTCTCAACTGCAACCAAACAACCATAGTCTTGAGCGACTTCGCAAAGTGCTGCAGAGAAAGCATACAACTGGTTTGCCTGCGTCACCTTGCTTAGAGCCACGCCTCTGAGGCTGGGGAGGCCACAAGGATAGCTGTCGGAGCGAAGAGGTCGTGGCTGTGGTACACCACGCGATCTCAAATGAGCGCATATGGGAATGTTGCGGGCCCTCGAACTTGTTCCACAAGGAGGCCCCATGAAAATGGCAACGACACTCTTTGAATGCACCAAATCAAAGATCAAATCCTGAACCCAAGGAACTGTCAAGTCAAGCTGCACAGCCGGACCTTTCATGCGTCCCCTGTTCAGGAAATGGTCAACACCGAGTGCCTCAAAACCGCATTGCCTCATGCAAGCAGTGACACCCGCCGTTCCACAGAACAGTTCTAAGAACGTAGCACCCTTCCTTGAGAAGTGCTGTGCAATAAGTGAGTCACGGGTGGAAACAGGCGCGTCTTGCACAAAAATCGGCTGTTCGGCAGGTTCAGCATGGTCAGTGTGTCACTGATGGGTCAAGAAAGTGTGACCCGTCTGAAAGCACCCTGCCTTGCAGCATACGTGTCTTCCTTTGGGACAATCCGGGCCGTTCTTGCAGGTCCCTAAATTGTACCCGAAACAAATGGGACGATTGGAGTCATCAAAAGCGACACCTCCCATGAGCCCTTTCGGCATTGGAAAAGTTTGCCTCGCCTTCTTAGGCGGTGGTTGACCTGCCTTCGCAGGCTTTAACCGCTTCTTCACAGGGTTCTTGCTTGGAGAACTGCTCACATTTGGCTTTGAACTGCTGGCCTTCGCCACTGGCGCATGGGGCCGCTTGGGCCGGGGCATCAATTGCCACATGACACAAGGCATATCTAGGACTGTCTGCAGGTGTTGATCTAAGGGCATCACACCAGGCGAATTCGCAAGTCCCGCCTTGGTGGCCTCAGCCAGTCTAACATGCACCTCACGGTCTGCAGCCACAAGTTGGGAGATCGAAATCTTCTCGAAACCGTCGGGCGCAGGCTTCAAATATTCATTGAAAAGCAAGTTGACCAGCTTCTCATGCGATTTGAAGCTCATTGCCTGCGCAACTTCATAGGCCACGCCTCTGCGCTTCAGAGCATTGGAAATCTCCAAATCGGTGGTCAAGGGGGCCGTCAGCTTTGGCTCGTGGTGAAATTCCTTGATTACACCAGAATGCTTGTCAGGGCGCCAAACCTTCAACCCTGTGTCCTCGCTGATGCCATTGACCTCTTGTGCTCTCGTAGTGCAGCGATCCCATTCAATATATCTCCACCTGCCATCTTCGACGGCCTGGGAAACATAATTGATGAGGGCGTGGCTCGGCTCCATGGTGTTTTCGATGAGCAAAGGGTCAAGTTTAGCCTGCAAAACCGCGATTCTCTCAGCTACTTCTGCGGGAGGCAGCTTCGCTGGAGGCTGTCCCTCTGCCGATTCCACCTTGCGTTTCATCTCAGCAGCAGCTAGAGTATACGATTCGAAATGGAGCCTCCTGAGCTTGGCGCCATCTGCATGATCGGCACTCCCCAGCAAAGGCTCAATGACCTTCATCACAAAGGCTGCATCATCCCCACTGCCGGGGATATAAGAGCATGAAAAAGCAAAAGTGGCATGCGTGTCCCATCCCTTGTCATGAAGGGAATCAATGACCGTTTCGGCAAGCCCAATGCTGAGGCACCTAGCTTTAAAGACAGGCGCAGAATCAACCAACGACATGTGCGGCCCAGGAAAACTGAGACTCTTTAGTCAGAGCTTGGGCAAGAGAACGGTCCTCAGACGTTCCATGCAAACAGAAAAGACGGTGCAAGTTCAAGCTGACTGACAAGCCAAACAAAGCGCTCCAAGACTCGGCATGGGAAGAAACCGCCAAACCATGAAGCCTCTTTTGCACCGATTTCAGGCTCAAGAAAGAATTGACCCTTTCGAAAAACACTGTTTGCATTTGTCTGGACTAAAGGCAGGAAGCTCACTCATTGAGACCTGCTCAAACATTCGGGTGACAAGGCGGCCACAAACGAACGTCCTGGCTTCTCCATCCTCAGGATCGACATTCGTGCGGGCAGATCTGTGCAGGGTTCTCCTCTTCACATGATTGAAGAGGTCAAAATCGGTGGTCAGGTGCTCATTGACGCCTTTGGCCATCTCCTGCACGTGCTCTGCTGCCTGCCTCTTCTCATCCTCACTCTCCGATTCACTGCCCTCAACGCTGCTACTGGTGCTCGACGTGGAATCATGTCCGGATTCACTGTCGTGCTGCGAATCCAAATCTTCCGCATCCTGGCTGGCAGCGTCGCAAGGTGTAGGCTCCACGAACCTGCACTCATCTTCGCCAGACGGCGCTCCTTTGGTCCCACCAACGGATGTTCCAGGAGAGGCATCCATTGCCACTGCTTCTTCAAGGTTCTGGCAACCAATCCACCTCTGAGATCTGGTGTTGTCAGGCTGAAATCTTCCGGATCTGACTGCAATACAAATGCTAGAAATGCGATTTAGAACCTCACTCTGAGCATCCTGAGAATATTCCATCGGGTTGAGCTCAGATGCCTTCGCATGGTACCCAGCTCGTCGCTGGATTTGCTGGCTAGCACCAGATTTGGCAAGCCACGAAAGCACTGTCGCCTTGCAACTGTGCGTGCCAAACTGAGAAACATCTAGTGTCCCATCAACCATCCGGAGGATTTGCCTGAGCTTGTCGACCCCTTCGGTCGGTGTCATAGGCAGCGAACCCCAAGCTGGCCCAGAGACAATGACTGGTAGAGTGGGATGCCCTCGACCAGCCGCAAGACCAAATTGTTCCCCACCTCGATGGCCATGGAGGACCTCCCACGCCTGGCAGAGCTGCAGCAGCTGGCAGGAGCCTGTTGATTGTGGCTTTGCTCCGGCCAATGGTTTTGTGGTGGTACAGCTGCATCTCCAAAAACCCATGACTGTCGCTCCCGTCAATCTTGGGTTCCTGCACCAGGAATTGAGCGTCCGAGAACCTCAGTCTCGCATATACCAAGAGCAAAAAATAACCCACAAGGATGGCGGTCTGGGAGTCACCGTGCACTACCAGACCTTCCATTGCGGCCACCACATGCACAGGCAAAGGAAGTTTCTTTCTCGGCACCAATCCCCGAGTGAAGGATTTCACCGCACCTTGAATGCGTGGCGACTTCAGGACGTCATCCACATCTGCGCCCAGGAGACCCTTCGCAAAGGCCACAGCTTCAAAAAGACGCCGTGCCCTCGTAACAGGGGCTCCTTCTGTTCGCAAATCGCAAATGTAGTCATAGACTTCCTGCTCTTGAATCGGGAAAATATTTGCACTGTCTGGCTCAAACCTCGAGGCTTTCCATTTCGAAAAGGAGATCAGCGAGAACGCCCTCGATCTCAAAGTCGAGGGGGCCTTATTGCAAAACGTGTCCTTCAGAGTTTGGGCAATCTTTGCATCTGCATCATCTGCACCTGACAGTTGGCACAAAATGCGTCCAAGCCTTGTCCCATGCATGCCACTGAATGCAATCACCCTCCACAATTCAAGGGACTGGTGCATCTCCTTGCCGAGCGCGATTGGCCAACTGTCAACGACTCTTCGTTTGACAGCCGCCCACTTCACACCGCTCCTTGAAACCTCTCGCATTCCAGGAACCTCGGCCTGTGAATTTGCAGCAACATGTATAGCTTCCACAGGAACCGGTGGGAAGCTCTTGCTATTCTCAAAGACAGTGCAAAGAGGTTTCACTTCCCAGGGCATCTTCATGAAGGGTGCATCCCATGGCATTGAAATCTTCGACTTCTTTGCCCCCAAACGCCGTGCTGCAACCATGACTGCAAGTTGACGATCTGAACTCTCATGTCTGGATGCGACAAAAGGCACATTGCTGGAACAAGCCACAGACGTGTCGGCCTTCTCCACTGAGGCCCTTGCTCCAGGATCAGGCCGCCAAGTGTCCAATGTATCATGCATCTGACACGACGAGCCAGGATCAGACATGCAGCCACCATGGTCTGAAGAGCAAGCTGTTTCAAATTCAGGTTGCACACATTCATGTAGTTTCTGCACGAAGTAGCCACAAGGTTCAACACCATCGTCACATCTGTCGTGCGAAAAGTTTACAAGGACAAACTGTTGGCCCTCCTGTTGATCATCTGATTCTCCATCCGGCACAAGTCCAACAGAAGACGCAACCTCCAGAGCTTCGTTAGAAGGTTGCAAATTTCGACGTGAAACAAAGTCCGTGGCAAACTCACCCTGTTTGAACTCATCCTCCCCATTTTGCATGCAACGGTCGTTCTCCGGGATGTGAGCCATGATCAGCGCAGCTGTGGATAACAGCGGCTGACTCTATCCAGGAAAGAACGAGAATACCGCAAGGCCAGGTGCTGCCCAATGTTGTGGAACCAACGTTGGCAGCGTCTGATATGCAAGCAATGCAGAACAAAGCGGCGCCACGCCAGCACTGCACTGGCGCGAAAACGGCGCAGACACTGGCCCATGAAAAAAACGAGGAGCTCCCTCCCACCCACCCCTTGGGTCTGTGCAATGGCGGTGGTGTGCAACGAAGTGTTGTTCATCCACAAAAACAACACATCAAAGCAAGGCCGTTTGTGAACAACTTAAAAAGTTTGCTGATGGGATTGTTAGTGCCCCAGCACAAACACCAGGGGTCCCCCTTTGTGGATAAGGAATTATCACTAAAGTGAGAATCATCTTGCATGGGTTTTGCATGTTTGCATGACATCTTGTTTTTGCATGACATGATTTTGACATGGTTTTTTGCACGGTTTTGCATGGTGTGGTTGCATGACATGATTTTGACATGTTTTTTTGCACGGTTTTGCATGTCATGTGCATGTGGTTCAAGCCCCTCCCCCTTACCCCCCCACCCTTTTTTTTCCTGAGGTGCACATCCTGGACATCCTGGACAACTTCGCAGGCAGGGCGGTGCCGAGCGGGCACCTAGGCAGTGCCGAGCGGGCACCTAGGTAAACGTGCCGAGCAGGCACAGTGCCGAGCGGGCACTTACAGTGCCGAGCGGGCACTTACAGTGCCGAGCAGGCACCGTGCCGAGCAGGCACAGGCACCCCGGTGCCGAGCTGGCACCGTGGGGGGGTGCAGTGCCGAGCAGGCACTAGTAAGTAGATGTGCCGAGCGGGCACGTGCCGAGCAGGCACCTAGGTAAACGCGCCGAGCAGGCACAGTGCCGAGCAGGCACCGTGCCGAGCAGGCACTTAACTAAACGTGCCGAGCAGGCACCGTGCCGAGCAGGCACGTGCCGAGCTGGCACCGTAGGAGCGCCAAGCAGGCGCAGCTTTGAAGCAGGCGTGGAGGCCACTGTGAAAGTGGTTGAGTGGCTTGCCCAACGGCCCCTTAGTACTGGCTCGCCCAACGGCCCCTTAGTACTGGCTCAACCTCGTTTGATGGCTCGCCCCAACCTCGTTTGATGGCTCGCTCAATACGGGTTCGCCCAATACGGGCTCGCCCAATGAGTACTGGGCGAGCCACCCATCACCGGGCCAGCGCCGAAGGTCCGGAAGTGATGCTGTCCTCGCAGCAGTGTTTTTTTTCACCATTCACACGCCCAACCGTCAATCCTGGCGTGGGCACAGGATTGCCCGAAAAACCCCATCACCGGGCCAGCGCCGAAGGTGTGTCAGCGATGCCGTCCTCGCAGCATCGCTGACATAGTTTTTTTTTTCACCATTCACACGCCCAACCGTCAATCCTGGCGTGGGCACAGGATTGCCACACTCAATCCTGGCGTGGGCACAGGAGTGCCACACTCAATCCTGGCGTGGGCACAGGATTGCCCCGGCGTTTCCCAGAAAACGCTGGAAGCGCAGTGCTGCACAGCACTACGCCCCCAGACTCGCCGCCCGGATTGCGCGGAAAACACCGGCAGTGCGTCGGTACACAGCGACGTACTCCCGGACTCGCCGCCCGGCTTCCCGGCTTCGAATTTTGGGACTCTAGGCGCAGCGTGACACGGCGCGCGCGGGCTCGGACCAGTGCTCTGCCACGCAGGGCAGCGCGTTGTTCTCCGCGGCCCGGTCGTAGAAGAGAAAGAGGCGTGTGAAAGGCGCCTCCGGCTCGCGCGCCAGCAGCTCGCCCAGCAGGCGGATCAGCTGTGCGTGGCGCTCCTTCTTGGCGGTCTGCCGCTGCCGAGCGCCACGCTGGCGGCCATGTCGAAGTCCCTGCGCACGTCGCAGCTGGGGTCGTAGGCGTTGTGCTGCTCCTCGTCAACTTCCAGCAGGACGTAGCCCCACAAAACGGCAGGGCAAAGTCCGCGAAGGCGTGGGCCGTCTCCGATTCCAACCCGCAGCCGCGGAAGGGCAGGTAGTGCTGGTACTCGAAGGTGATCTGCGCGTCGCGGAGTGCTTGGTGCACCTCAAGCTCCTTACTCTTGGTCACAGCGCGCGGGTTGTCGCCGCGCTTGCTGCGCATATGCCCGAGGAGCGACTGAGCGCTGCTGAAACGGTGGCAATTGCCGCGGGCAGACTTCGACTTCACAAAGGAAGTTGTTGCACTCTGCACAGTGGTCGCGTAAGCGCTGGTGTCTACAGACGGAACCACCGCCGCAGTCGCTGCAGTGCTTGCGCCGCCTTCCGTGCGAGCAGTAGGACGCACCGCCGCAGTCCCGGCAGTAGTTCCGCAGACGCGAGTGCTCGCAGTACGATGTGCCTCCACAGTCCCGGCAGTGGGTGCGCACCCTTCCATGCGAGCACACGCCTGCGCCGCCGCAGTCCGCGCAGTGGTTGCGCTGACGAGCGTGGGGGCATTTCTT